GCCCACAGCCCCTTCTCCCAGGGAGAGGGAGAGTTTCCAGGGAGGAGACGCTGGCAGCAGCTGGCCACCTTCTCCGGCAGAGAAGGTGTGAAGAAGGCCGCCCTAATATGGAGCACTCCGGGCCCAGCCGAGAGGACAGGAAGGAAAGGCGCTGGTGCAGGCTGGCACTCCATTCTGGGCTGGTGACCTCTGGCTCCCACATTTGCATTTAAAAGCCATGATGGAAAAGTAATTTACGCAGAAGGCTGGGTTCCATTCCAAGCAGACTGCCTGCTCAGCAGAGTGACAGTGACCACAGCCCAGCAAGGGCCCTCCCAGGAGAGGCCGCGGGGAGCCGATAGAGGGGGGTGCAGAGAGGGAAGTCAGACTGTTCTGCATGGGAAAATCTTTGAAGTGTGTGGCGGCCTGGCCTAATCAGACTCACTTCAAGAGGCTCAGAGCACTTCATTAGGTTGAGGTCTAGCTGTTTTCCATCTAAGTTGACTTGGTTTGAGGGCCTTTCAGGGACTGAACTTGATAGTTTCAATTTTCAGTTTAACTTTTACTTTCTTTAACTGAAAAGGTGTAACTATGGAGGCCATACTTCCTGAATCCCAATTGGGTCTGACACTGGACGGTCCCCCTAAAATATAGGGAATCTGCTCAGACTGAGGACACAGGGGGAACAAGACTCAGACTGCTGATAGGAAAAGAGGGAGATGCCTTTGGTTTGGACAATGGCTTTTGCTTCACCCCTAAAGTGTGGGGGTCCTGCTGGCGCTCTGGAGGCTGGAGGCGCAGGAGCCAGCAGACATGAAATATAAAACACCATCATCTTCATTCAGGTATCAGCCTGGAAGTGAGAGATTAAGTGGTTGGTCAACCCCCCCCCACCCCTAATAATCACACTGGGCCTCCGGATATAATGAAATAGAAACTTCCTGCTGCTCTGTGGTGCTTTGGCCAAAAGTCTTAGTGTAAGGGACCATGTCAGATGAGCAAGGTGACTCGCTCGGGTCTGGGGGACAGGACCACCTTGTCCACAGTGCTTATCAGCTCAATTCATTATCACTTAGGTAGGCGTGTTGGGGACAGGGCCAGGCGGAGGCCCCCTCCTCGAAATACAAAGGCGGCCTTGAACTTCCCCATTTCACCGAATCTGAAAAATCACCCACTGCTCTCTTGTCCCCGGGATGCTGAGGATGATAGTAAAATGGACATAGATCTAGCTCTTTGAAACTGAAATAACTAAAAAGAACTTTCCATATTATAACGGGGCTGACGGCGGCTAGGGAATTAAAGTTGATGGGCAGAACGCCTGGTGCTCACACAGCCTCGGTTCCCACAAACCATGGACCGTCAGCTCCTCAGCCTCCTCTTCATTTCCTGTTTCCCTTTCAGTTTTTGCCGCATCTCTGACATTAAGTGCATCAAAGGAAGGAGAGCGAGTAAAAACTGAAACCTACTTTCTGCATTCCCTCCGGGGTCACAAAGGTCTGTAACCATGGATTGATTTGTGTTTACCAGCACCTGCGTGGCTCTGAGGGCCGGACACACAGCGTTACCCCATGGCCTCCTCTGCCTGGACTGGTCTAGGCGATGGGTGTCTCTGGAACCAGCTGGCTACATGTCCCAGGGAGATGTTCTAGAGCAGAACTGTCTGATCTGAGTAAATCCCTAGAGAAAAGTGACGGGAAGACATCCCTCCACCCCCCACCAAGGATCATCAACTATAGGAAGAATACAAAGTTAACAAAGAGGTTTTAGTATTTCTTTCTTTGGAGAAGGAAAGTTCCATTTACCTGGTTTATAAAGGAAGAACTGCAAGTGTAAGAAGCTATCAAGTGATCTAAGCAGGGCTCATAGGTACCTAGTTGAAGTTTGTGAGGGAAGGGAGGGAAGTCATATATGTAATGACCACTGTCCATTAGAAACCCAGGAGGAGGTGACCTGTCCTAAGTGTCAGTGGCGGTGGGACAGGGTCTAGGACCCTGCACCCAACAAAGTGACCTTGGCAAGCCCATCCTCTCAGGTGATGGACCGGAAAGACCAAGAGAGGTGACCAAAGTTTCAACCTATAGAAGAAAGTAGAGCACAAACAGGTAGGGAGGGAGGAAGCAGGAGTATGAATGAGCACCTGGGGGAGCAGGACCCACGGCCAGAGCTTTACAGTGATTATGAAACAGTTCTTTCAAAGTAATAGCGTTTCAAGAATATTAACTTAAAACAGACGATTTTTCAGCTTGTTTGGTTTGGATCACTGTAAGTTATGGCTGCCCTTTCAATTGATCTCAATGGCCCTAGTTCTTCAAGCCTGAAAGGGTCAGTTCTTACAGCTGATGTGAGGGAGAGAATTATCCTGAGGGTTTCTGGCAAAAGCAATTCTACTTGGGCGGAAAGATAATATGCTTGGAACCAGACAGGTCCCCAGCTCCTCGGCCAGAGAGCAGGGAGCCTCTGGTCTGCTCGTCCAGCTGAGCAGAACACTGCTTAGCTCTGCTGGTGAGGCGGCTCCTGGCTGGTCAGCAGGGCCTCAGCATCTGGCTTTCAGCACTCCACATTTGCTGTTAGTGATCAATCGGTGACCACTGCATGTTGGCAAGGTTCTGCAGTGATTGACTTTTCAGAGAGGCCTTGCTTTGGGCCCATACAGCTGTCCTCAAGAAATTCACCAGACATGTGTTCAGAGTGATAACATGGCCAGCTTTCAAGACAGTTCACTCTGGGCTTCACGAGGTGGGTGGTGGTGGTTCAAGGTGTGTTCTGCCTAACGGAGAAACTGATCGAAACTGTCACCCTCAAGGCCTCCTCTCAGTCACAACGTCCATCCCAAGAAGTTGTCTGAAAGTTCACAATGACCAGGACAGAGCTGTGATGCAGGCATCGGGAGGGCTGGTCCGGTGGGGAAACAGACATCGGTTCACCTCTTATTTCCCCAAAGTGATGTCTCCCCAGAATGATAAACTTGATACCAGAGGCCAGTAAAACCCTGGCAAACCACTGTCCTGTTTCCATGAATTTAACCTGCTGCCCATGTCTGACTCATCACTGCTGCATCTCTACCAGTGAGACTGGCATTTTGGGATAAGCCAAGTTCCTGGCTCTACATTACAAAACAAAACAGGGAGGGGGAATTCTGAGGTAGCTGATTTGCAGACACTACAGCAAGCCACCAGGCAGCCCCTGTTCCGGCCCTGTTACTTCCCTCGGGTGGCGCCACCCTGAAGCCTGCTCATCAAGCTACGGTTCTGCGTCAGCCACACAAGTGAACTCGGTTTCTTCTGCACCACTCACACAGACCCCAAACAGAAGACTTCCAGTGACACAGAGCCTCGCCAGCAACGACGGCAGGCGCGCCAACTACGTCACTCAGAGACGACTGCAGGCCGCAGGTGTGTCCACAAGCAGACTTACCCAGAGGCAAGTGAGGGACTGAGAAGAATAAAGAATCACAACTGGATGGGGTGGGCGGAGAGCTCCCCACTCAGGCTGTGTTCACCCCGGCTTTCTATGAGTACAGCATTTGGGTGGGGATATCGTTCTAGCCCCCAATCCCAAATACCCGCTTACTGAGTAACCACAGGAGCTAACAGCAACCTGTGGCTGATGGCACGTGACAACACTGACTCCTTGTAGGCCTGCAAGCAGGTTCTTCTGCACCCTCCTGTTCTCACCTGAAGACTCAGAGCTGGGGTGAAGAGGGGACTAGGTGAGCCCCAAAACTGCGAAGCGGCAGCGCCACACCTGAGCACAGATGCCTGTGCTTATTCTAGAGCCTGTATTTTTAATTTTGCTAACTCATCTCTCTAACAAAATAAAAGTCCTACACTATAAGCACGATTTAGATGATATCCCACAGTTCTGGCGTTTGCTCTCCTCTCCCTGGGGAAGGCTTTGCCATTCAGCATCAGTGTGAACACTCATCTCCCACTTACCCAAATTCAGGATTTATTTTTTCCTTCCCATGTAAGATACATTTTCCCTAGCTCTGCAGGGTCTGAAGTTCAGCACCAAGCTAGATCTAATCTAGTTCTGGCCCCAGGCAGGATGACTTAAGTCATCCTGAAGAAAAGAAGGTTGATGCAATCTACAAAGGCCTCCCTCGTCCTACCTAGCAGAGAGACAGGTGGTAAGGATCACCTGCCGTCTGGGTTTCTGCAAAGTGCTTTTGGAGCTTTCTAGAGGAATGGTACAGCAGAAATGCAAATTAACAGCAATAGAGCGCAACTCAATTCCCATCGGCATAACCCTCTAACCCAGAGACAGAATACTCGAGGCCCCAGGCAACAGTGCCAGTCTTCATCAGAAAATATATTTATTATTGATAGTGAGTGAAGTAAAGATGTCAGTATTCATGATAGAGAAGAGGTTGTATACGCCAAGGTTGCCTTTATATATTGATAAAAAATGCCTGATTTCACTTGCAATCATAAACATTATTTCTTTTTGTCTTCTTACTTACATGATCGCCATAATAAGTTAAGATGAAATAGCTGTTATCTAGTCAAGGGAGAAAGAGAAAGAAAGAAAACGGACATAATCCCATCTACGTAACTGTGCCCAGCACTGCTGCCCCGGGATTGAGGGGTCCTACCCTTGCCTCTCCCCTTTCCATTGAACTTCGCTCCCTTCCCCCCTTGGCTGGTCAGCATGAAGGGGCCCCAAACGGTGGAGCTTGGGGAGGAGAGAGTTGAACAGAAGGTGAAGGAGGGGAGGGTTGCCTTTCTCCTTTAATCATCAAAACTAGGGTGGATGGACGCTGGGGCATGTCCTTGCTGGACGATCCCTGATCTTGGCTTTGGCATTGCCAACGAATGTTGAGCAAACGGTGTTTCTGATGAACCTGCCCTCTGCTGAGTGTCTTCACTGTCTTCTCTTCATATGAGTTGCTTTCTTAGTAGGGGAAAAAAAAAAAAAAAAATTCCTACCTCTGGAATTAACGTTGAAGGAGTTTTGCTGGTTCGGAGGTTGATTTTATCCTCCCTTTTCAAGTGAGTTGCTTTCTTAGTAGGGGAAAAAAAAAAAAAAAAAGTTCCACCTCTGGAATTAACGTTGAAGGAGTTTTGCTGGTTCGGAGGTTGATTTTATCCTCCCTTTTCAAGCTTGCTCTGCAAGAGAAATAGAAACCAAAGTTTGAACACCAGAAGGAAAGGATTTCCCAGATGACAGTGACCATGTTGGGCTATTTATACTGTTTTACAAAGATCTACTTCAAAAACACATGAAGCGAGGCACATGCCTTCTGGTCTGGAAATACCTTAAAAAAAAAAAAAAAGATTTATTTATGCATACAGTACTGGGGTAAAAGGCCAGAGGAGCGGGGGTGGGGGAGGCGGTGAGAGGATTCACCAGAGACAGAGTAGGGGAGCAGCAGGGAGACAGGAGAGGTGCCACGTGGGTCACCTCCCCGGAGCAGGGATTGAACTTGGGTTGAAGCAGCTTCAGCTGGCGTCCCAGTGCTGTGCTTTAGCCTGCTGCGCCACCAGGGTGGGCCCCTGGAAGTACTACTTTTAACAGCACCTTGCTCAAGTATATAGCATGTCCCGGAGGGTGGGGCCGAGGGGACTGCGTGCCCTCTCACTCCCAGGGACCTCTGGTAAGGTGGCAAGAGTGGCTGGAGGGTGGGGTGAAGGTAAAACTGCAAAAACCCCGAGAGGGCATCTCAGAATTGCAGGAGAGATTCTCTCCCTGAAACGCCTGCTCACTCTGAGGGCAGCTGTCCCTGAGTGGACGGTGCTGGGGCCACACTGAACTCCGAGGGGCACATGTTGGATGCGTGTATCTGCAGTGCGGCCACGGCCCCAGCATCCCCTCCTCTAGCGCAGCCGTGGCCTCGTATTCTATTGAGGCCCTTTCTGCTGGGTGGTGGCAGGAAGAGCTCGGCCAGGTTGCAGCGGGTGGGGTTTAATGCCATCTCCATTCTTAGGGGTCACAAAGAAAAGTGATGCTTTCCCCTTCAGTTCTGAAGCCACTCAGGAGGCCGGTCAGGCCAGAGGTGGCCTCTAATTCATCTTTTCATGCCTTCGCCTGCCCTTCATTCCTCACCCTTACAGCCACTTTATTTGCTGAGGTTTTTAAACAAGCTCTGAGGCACTCACCACATGGAGTTTGTTGCTATGGGGAAACCAATAGACATATTCTGTGGGAAATGAACACATCATACCAGTAATAATTTGCTGTTTTTATATATTTGCTAAGCAAATACTAACACTTTATTTTACTGAATAATACAAACATGCAGTATACATTCAAGAAGAACAAAAGAAGATAAAGGACTAAGTATTCCTTCCTCCCCCTGCCACCCAGTGTCTCGTGGAGTTTTCCAGAGAAGGGCTAGTTCAGAGAAGGATTGGCCTTTCACTACAGACAGAATACAGGGTACCCTTGAACAGCCTGGTCTCAACTGCAGGCATCCACTTCCACCCGGATTTTCCAGTAAACAGACATTAACTTAATGGCATTGATAAGTACCAGACACTACTCTGAATGTACTTTCTCTTCCTTATCATTTTCTTAATAACATTTCTGTTCTCTAGCTGACTTTACTATGAGAATACAACATGTAATCTATGCAACATACGTGTTAACTGTTATCAGTAAGGTTTCTAGACGTTTTGGGGAAGTCACACTTTACGTGGTTTTGCATTTTATGGGAGCTCAGTGCCCTTAGCCCGAGTTGTTCAAGAGTCTATGGACAGAAGCAAGGGAGGTAAGCTTGGGCAGGGCAGGGAGTGGGAACAGGCCCAGGGTGCACTGGGGAGGGGGAAGAGAGGCAGGCCTGAAGGTGACCAGGGCCTTAAATGAGTGACATCTAGAACAGTTACGTCGGCATCCTCCGAATGGGTGACAGAGGAACACCCACACCCAGAGGGAGACCCACCAGGGAAGAGGATCTGTGCTTACAAAGTGTATGAACCACACACACAACATACACTTTGGGGGGAAGGTGTATGTTACAGAGCAAGCAAGGCCGGGGGGCAAGAAATAGATGAAGCATAAAGACACACAGAAAGAGAAAGCAAGACGGTGAAATGGAAGCTTCAGCGGGGCCTGGTGACAAGGAGGAAGGTGGGGCAGAGGATGACTGTGGGGCGGGCAGCACCAGCCTGGAACTGGGCTGACTTGAATTTGGGATCTACAAGTCTGGGAGGATGATGATCCACCCCAGATGAGGATGTCGAGTATCAAGACACAGGCTCGGGAAAAGAGGGCAAGGATTTAGTCAAAGATGAAGGAGAAATGACAGCAGTAAAGGGGTGAAGGGAGAGTGGAGGGTCAAGTAAGAGGACGCCAGGTCACGGGTAGGCAGATTATCCCCAAATCACCACAGTAATAGGTGTCTAAGATGAGTACATTGTAGTCACAAAAGGAGTCTCAGTGGAAAGGCAGCACGCCAGAGGAAGCGCGCGGTGAGCCATGGCGCCCGAGGGAGGAGGTGAGTGGGGGGTTGGGGGCAGCACAGGAAGCAGGGAGGCAAAGTGTGTCGGCGCAGACGACAACATGGAGACCGTCTCCATAGCTGACGCGACACCAGAGGCTCTCAGGCTGCCTGTCACATGAGCCCGGCCTTTTTGGAGAAACTGAAACTTAAAAAAATCCTGTGTATGCCAGTTTTCCGGGACTGGGGCCCCTCCTGTGTTCTTGAACCCTTGGGGCTCGATGAGCATGAAAGTTTCTCCAACCATGTGGAAAGGAGGCCTGACAAATTCCAGACCCAGACACCAGCTCGGTACAACACTATCAATGGGCGAGCGGCGGCCATTGATGGGCTGTTGGTTGCTCATGAGAACAACGTCTTCACAGCTGATGCCACCTGGCATTTTGGGGGTGACACACGCATTTAGGCTTGAGGATGCCTAGGTCTGGTCAAGACCCCTCAGCCATGCCTCCTCCTGGAGTTTTGGGTCGATGCTTATAGCCACGTGACAATACCCCAGATAAGCCAATGAATACAAAATAGTTAAAGCAATGGTTAGTTAAAGTGTTTCAAGTGTCCAGGGCAACTTCTTATGATTCCTCTCCCTGCAACCCCAAGCAAACACCAAAGGAGCATTTTCCCCTAAGATTATGTAATCTAAAGAATGTCAGACTCTTTTTAAGACAGACAAGCCAGAGAACTGATGAAACTCAACAAAAATAAAGTAAACAACCCCATCAAAAAATGGGCAGAAGAGCTAAAAA